TATTGCCGATTTTCTTTGCTTCTTCTTCGGTTTTAAAAGCAATAACGATCGTGCCTGTTGGTTTGCTTCTCCAGCTTCTAGAAATCCAGTGGGGGCTGCCAATGATAGCTTGCCCTTTGTTGTATGTAGGGATTTCTGTGTGGAGGAGCAGCAAGGGACTATCTATTGCGCTGTGATACAGATAGTAACGACATTTTGGAGTTTTTTCGGGTTCGACAGAAAGAAACACATCGTATGATCGCCCGCATATGTTTCGACATTATTGCGCAAAATGCTGATCATCGCATTACAATGTGGGAGTTGTGCCTACGTGAATCAGAGGATTTATCACTCCTTGAATATGCGACTTCTCATTGGGAAAAGCATATCCAACACTGTCCTGACGTTGAAAACAAGCTATTCAGCGACTTGGACGATTTTTTCCAGCCCGATTCCACACTACGTGCCAAGTGGTGGGAATCATATCTTTTAACGCAGCCGATTCAGTGGACTCATACACCTCCTTTGCTACATATTGTAAACTTTATCGGAGTACCGTCCTGGGTAGAAGCGATATTCCAAAATAATCCAGAACTCAAATCACCATATTTTCTCGATCAGAGGGATGAACGAGAAATGACGCCTTTGCATTGGGCTGTCCGAGGAGGTAGCAAGGAGGTAGTGCAGCTCCTACTTGTACATGGAGTCGATGTTGATGTAGAGGATGACCTTGGTTTCACGCCTTTGCAGCGATCATTCGAAAACGAAGATGAAGTAGTGGCACAGCAACTTCTTGATCAAGATGCAAGTTTCACAATACACCAGTTTCGCCCGAATCCCTTCTACCAAGCAGCTCGTTGGGGTAACAAAAGAATGTTGAATATGCTTCTGGAGAGGGGGCCAGACATTAACAAATTTGATTTGGACGGTATTGCAGCACTGCATCATGCAGTATTGAATGGAGAGTCGGCGTCTGTGCAGCTCCTACTCGAGTTAAACGCAAATTCGAATGCCATGTCCGATGATCTATGTAACAAGATCGCCCCGTTGCACCTAGTTCCAGAAACACATGGCGAGCGAATAATCAAATTACTTTTGGATAGAGGAGCGGATCTTGAGGCAAGGGACTATAGTGGGAGGACTCCGTTATATGTTTCCTGCCAAAGCGGTCTCTTCAAAAACGTACGGTTGCTTATCGAGATGGGAGCTAATATGTGGGTCAAGGATGATAGTGGCGGTACATTGCTCCATGCGGCGGTTGATTCAGGAAGTGAAGCAATGGTTCGACTTTTTCTGCATAAGGGACTGGACTTCCAAGCGAAAAACAATGCCCGGGGAACGCTCTTGCATCAACTCGCTTGGAGAATCGCTCCAGAAAATGGCATAGGGATCTTCAGGCTGTTGATATCCTTAGGAGTAGATATCAACGAAAAGAATCATGAAGGTTCAACAGCTCTGCATATAGGAGCGAAAGGGAACTACCCCGAGATAGTGCAGCCCTTAATCGAAAACGGAGCCAATCTGGAAGCGAGGAACATATCGGGCAAGACATCATTGCATTTTGCTGTCCTTGCGCGCAGCCAGAGCTTGATGATACGTGATCATACAAAAACCATCGGAGCATTGATCCAGGGCGGTGCTGATGTCAGCGCTCGAGACAATCAAGGGTATACACCGCTAGACTATGCAGATTCACTGTATAGGGAAGAATTGGAAACATGGATAAAGGACAGGGTGCTCAATTAATTGGTTTTGGTCGCATTGCCATAGCATATATCTCATGGAAAATAGTATAAACTACAAGACATAGCAAGCTGAAAATCAAACGATCGACGCCTAGAGGGTTGGGCTACCATACAAGTGAGACGCATGAGTTTTATCAAGACTAAGAGAAAAAAAGAACTCCTGCAAATTCACGTACATGTGAAGAACGCTATAAAGCAACTGTCATCGTTGCACAACTGCTCCAAACACGAGTGTTGATTCTGTAAAACTCTACAATGCCATAAATCTATCATGAGAACTATATACAGTGAACGTAGATCACGCATTCACATATCTAACAAGTGAAAACGTCCGGTCCAGGCGAGGTATAAGTCTTTGAGCCAGTGTACAAGTTGTACACGATACCCGCATCATTCTGCTTGTACGCTCCAGGAAACGAAACAGTCGAAGGAGTTTTGCTAGCAGAGCCACCAATAACATTGATTTGTGCGCATTCCTACATCCGTCGCATCAGTAAGATACTCGATGAAAAGAACCAAAGAAAGGGACTAGGAGCTCACCATGTAGAACTGGGCTCCCATGAGCTGGCTGGCAGAGTGAAGCGCAATAAGCTCACCGCGGAGCAAGTACTGGCCTGGTGCAATGCAAGCTGGAATAGTGATGGTTTGGTTGCCCTGGTTAGCAATGAGGCGATCAACACCCCATTTTGAGCCGTCGAAAGCATCCTGTGCAATCTTGAACCAGCCTCCGCCGATGCCAGAGTCGGTCTTTGCATCACTGACTTTCTTCATATAAGCCATGACGGGTCCCTTGTGTGAGGCGTCGATGACATCGTTGGGCCCAGAGGTGAGTGTGTGTCGCCATGTCAGGGTGGCTTTGGAGCCAGCTTGGACGGTGATGACGGTGTTGGTTTTGGCAGGGACATCGTTAGGGGGTCCGTTGCAAACTATTGAGTTCGAGGTTACGTCGCTTACGGGCTGTGTGTTTTCAAGGTTAGAGAAGGAAGATGGTGGACAGTCGGGTGTGTAGTGAGACGTACGCCATCGTATGTGGGGACGCGAACTCCGTCGCCAACGGCACCCCCGTTGAGGCTAAGGAAGATAGTGTGGGCGGTGGTTGAGGAGGCTACCGCAGCGAGGACGAGAGGTGTTGAGAGTCTCATATTGATGTTTTGCGCTGGTGTCTTTTTCGAATAGTAAATGGGTGCCGAATGTCAACTTGATGAGGACTTGGGCGCTTTTTAAACATGTTCTTCCAGCCTACTTACCCAGACTTCTGGCCCGGGATCCGAGGTTTACAACACCACTAAACATCGAACAACGTAATACTAGCATTCAGCCCGCGAGTTAGAATCTAAACAAGTGGAGCGTTTTACTATGTCCACCAACCGATTGCTGGGCTACCTGCTCGCCTCCCCCCTCAAGATCCTAGCGTGGCGGCTTCCCCCATTTTACATTCGGAACGCGTGCCGCCGACAACGTGTAGTGGCAGTAGTATAAATTAAGCAATATATAAGACATGCCGAGGGTTCATCGGAGGTTTACGCGACCCTGGTTTGAGCCAATCGCATTGTTGGAAGTAGATTGCGAGACGACGTTGTGCCAAGATTATTGGGTATAAATGCCGGTTTATATGAGGGGTGTAGCTTGTGACCGACTTAGCTAGTACGCACTATATGCCGCAACATGTAAAATGCCAGGACACGATACATGGTAGTCTTCGCACACACGATCACGTGGGAACCATGTTTCAGAAGGAAATCGTAGATGCTTCGGCTGATCGACTATCCGCCGCGCCCTCAAACAAGCGTAATATCTTCGAGTTTTACGTCATCCACATTCATGATTTCTCCCTCCATGACACCGTGAACGTACGCTTCGCCCAGGAGTTCAAAATCATCCTGCGCTGAGTCGTTATTCTTCCGCCTCAGCACAAATGGCACGCAAGCTCTATCAAACACTGCGATCTCATCGCCGATCTGCGCGCCCCTCGGAACGAGCGTAAAGTAACCTTCCTTGGTGACGGCGAATCGGCGCATGCTCAATGCGGCCCGGAGCGCCGTTTGCAAATCTTCTAGAGTCCTGGCCGGCTTCCGGGTCTTGAGGTTCTCGAGTGTAAAGTGGCCCTTCTGCCGGCGTGTACTGATGGTCTGGCCAGGCAAAGAAGGCGTTTGGCCAGTCGTTGAATCAAGTATTAGACCGAAAGCCTCCTCATGGTCGATTGTCGGGGCCAAGGCCCCCGAGCCATCCCGTCCTGCAAGTAGAGTGTTGAAGAAAGCCTTGTAAACAGAAGTCCCGGATATGAGATACTTGTGCCATTGCTTCGATTTGAGTGCCAGCTCGACGTATGACGCCAGATCGCGATTTTGGCCTTTGGGGTCGACGATGTCAAGCACAGGATCCTCGCATACACACCCTGCACTAATGATTGTGTCAAAAACCTTTCCTGTTAGCGTGAGTGCATTCTTGTCCTCGCTCAATGCCATTCTGGGTGGTTCCTTTCCATTTACGGGTCTGCCTCCAGCGCAATACAGAGCCCAAGCTTTCGTCGAGTAACCCAACGCTTCAGTAGCTCGCGGAGTACTCCAGTCCGGAACCCAAGATGGTTGCAATGGTTGATCATGGTCGACGCAGCTTAGCAGCTCATATTTCAAATGGGGTAGCTGCGTCAAGCAGGCCTGGTGATAGACTTCTCTGACAGAGAGACTGGGAGAATAATCTGGGACGATGTTGGAGTCGGCTATTCCAAGGACACCGTACACTTTATCTTTGGGCTCCGTTGCCTGAGCATATCTTGTTGATACTAGAATGTTCAGCAAATATTCCTTCTGGATGAGCCCCATGCTTTGAAGACGATCTGCCTGGATGGACTCCACAACCACGGCTCCCTGCGGCGGCAAGAATTTTGGATTCTCTCGGAGGGGACGTTGAAGGTCTAAATCTGCATTGCTAACGAGCCAGCGGAGTATGCCGGTCTCTTCCAAGCAATAGCACCAAGCCGCCAAGTCATCCCAGCAGACTGATGCATGGCCGCACTTGATAAACAGATTCCTCGATAGCACCGCCTCCTGTATTGTCCACAACCTACTGAACCAGGGCCTCCGGAGAAGTTGTCGGATATCCCACCATACTTGGTCCGAGACGTGAGGAAAGTCTAGTCTGGCAAAGTCTGCTGGTGTTACTTGCGCATCTGTTCCCTGTAATCGAGCGTAGACAGTCTCCAGCAAGTCGAGGGCGCCGACGGGGTCTTCGCCATCATCGTCGCCAAGCCATATAAGCGTGTTAGTTGCATGCGAGTAGATCATGCGCATGAGTGGAATTTGTTGTCCTTTCTCTGCTATGTCTTGCTGGTTTATACAGATCTGGTCTGTCCACACGTATATACTCTTGTCTCTCAAGCGCAAGTAGCGCAGAGCACTAGCCAGGCTCTTCAGGATCTTAACAGAAAAATCTCCCAACCAAATCGTCTGGTCAAATACTGGCGCTCCCCATACGTAGCTGAGGGCAGTATACCATACCGGACTTTCTGTAGTTAGGGACACTGCATGATTAGTGTGCCTCGTATATGTGAATGTCCTTCTACTCGTGTTTGCGGGGTTGTCAAATGGATACACGGTATGCTCAACCCTTGATGGATGTGAAAAGTCGATGTTGACTGTATGCAGTTTACCGTGAAGAGGGTCTTCAAATTCCCCAGGGGACAGCTCCAGAACGCGTATCTCACCATTGGCAAGAGGTTGGTAAAGCGATGATGAAGGAGATCGAGTGTCGTTTTCACTTCTCTGCAAGCGCTTTTGACTGACAAAATCACGGATATGATCTAGGGCAAGCTCATCCAGATTACCAGTGGCATCACTTGGTCCTTCAGAAGTAGCGGGCTGGAAGACGGATGTCTTGGATAGTGCAGAGTAGAAGCAGTTGCAGTCGTCTGAGGCAGTGAGTAAGGCCGGCTGGTTGCGTTTTTATGGTACCCTCGCACCTTGCGGGTCTGTGGCGCATGGACACATTGACGCATGCTCAATATGCTGATACGATTTCTGTAAGTTGGCCATTTGATCGGTGGCGTGAAAAGGTGTGCAAGGAGGGATGTTGTCATGTTTCAGCCATGCGGACATCATAAGCTAGTCCAGAAATGGAATGGCTGATACTGAGAACTGAAGAGAACATGTATACATACCGACATGTCTAAAGATGCATTCTTCCTGGTCATCCAAGACAATAAGTTGGGTTTTGGACGTGGGTATATGTTGGCTCAGGGATCTCTGATCAGTCTAAGCAGATGATGTATGCAGAACCTAGGTTGGCTTGTCTTCTTTAGGGATACTTCCCTGTGTCTGACTTTGTAACAGTTCCATGCTGCCAAAGGAATAATCCGTCAGGTCCCACAGTTTCCATGACAGGATTTGTTTTATCTGGAGGAGGAAGAGAGTTCAAATCTCTGCGTCTCAATACAACAGAGAGCAGTGGGGAGAGGTATGGTCTGTATAGGTTGCGATGCGCTATTTAGTGTAGAGCAGGACAGTTACTGGGCTAGTATGATTAGTTCTTGCTCTATTCCGGAGTGGCGCTTAAGGCCTACACAAATCGCATTGGTCCATATACTAATATATGCAAAAGATTCAAGTCCATTTGATTTCTTCAGTAGATCCAATACTCCCGCTACCGGAGATTTCCTCGGACCCTCAATAGAGGTGGATCAAAACCAATGTAAGAAACTCCGCATTTCCTCCAGTGCTAGCGCCATGGGGACCGATCTTGGTCTGGGGCGGGCAGCATCCCAAACAAAGTAGCCTGACTCGGTCTGGCTGCCGCTGCCCTCGATCAAGTGCGGCATGTTGCAAAGAAAGGGGTCAGAGCCAGTAGTGTTCTTAACGTGTGGTGCTGTTCTTAGTCAATTGGTAGCATAAAGCAAATCTTCAATACGTAGTGTGACAGAACAAAAGGATACAAAGACTAAGAGTTGAACACCGGGGATGGTGATTCTGGTCCATCCCAGGAGTTTCCAAGAATGCAGATACGAGCATGTACAAGGCTAATGTGGTAAGATGTGCTATTTGAGGCGTACTGTTAGCAGTGAATAACTGTTTGTGACGGGCAAGTGATCACGCTCACGCATCGACAGGTCCACGATTTCTGCGTCGCCTCGCGCCCGCCCCGAAGATCATCTATCCAAAGGAGTACGAACGAGGAGTTAGATATCCCCTTTTGCAAGAGATGTGCAGCCTTGATCTAGATTTGTAGGACAGCTAAGCTGATTACAGTAACAACCAAGGTCTTGGTGTGACGCACGGTATGATGCGAGTCAGGTTGCCATCTTTAGCCTCGCAAGGCTGCGTGGAAATACGCTGGGACAATCACGTTGCAAAATCTAGATGAACAACTAGAAGCGGGCAGTGACTGCTGTACCGGACGCTGTGGAACCTCGTTCGGAACCAGCACTTGCTGCAACCCGCCCAACGCATACAGCGATTTGAGTGACCCGGGTGCTTGTTGTGGAGCAACTTGCATTTCGCTCTTAACAAACAACCGCGATGGATATCGTCTTTGAAACCAGAATGTCAACATGACCACCGTATTCACACGATATGTAATACTAATATCGATATATAATGACCAGTCCAGCACGATGCTGCAAGTGATAAATGAAGCACAATCGTAGTGTCGATGGTAGCGCTAGAAGTAGATATCAACATCTTAGAAACTCTTGTTGCTATCCTAAAAATACAAGGCCAGCGATGTGACACGTTCAACCGCAAATTTTCAACTCCAACTAGCCCTATGATTGTAGTTACTATGATCAACAGAAAAGTTACTGCTGGCATCCTGCTACTGGGGCTGTACAACTACAGTTAAACGGGGGATTGGGTGGTTGTATTGAACTCTGTTCTGTTTCATTATTATGATCAATGATTGATAAGTACAGAGACGAGGTAACTCCTGTGCCTAGACAATAATGCAAATCTGCTCGAATCATGCACTTCAGTTATCCAGAAATTCCCCAGATGAAGACTAATACAAAGTGAGGGCGACAGAACAGCAGTGTATGGCTTAGTCCAGGCCGGAAAAGTGCAGAATGCCGTGTCCCTTTGCTTGCTGACCCTTGTTCTTCTTTCTCTTCTTTCGCTTTTGCTTGGGTTCGTCTTCGCTGCTCTCGTCCATGTCATCGCTGTCGTCACTCTCATCGCTATCGTGCTGGCGCTTTCCATTTTCGGTTTCCTCGCCATCGTCGTCTTCATCAACGTCCTGCCACGTCTGCTCGCCCCACACCTTGACAGTCTTGCCACCGCTGCTAATCATCCTGCCCGTGACATCGAAATCAAGGCCAATGACACTTTCTTGCGATAGCTCGTCGTGCTTGAGCTCGGCGACAATCTTATTGGGGCCAATCTTGGCGAAGCGAATGTTGCCGTTGCCCATACCGACGGCGACAATCTTTCCACCTGGCCCAACACCATCAGGCACGACAGTAATGGCGTCAAGGCTCTCGCCGCCCCCCTTAGAGCGGTCGATGATGATGCGATCGTCTTGGTCATCCCATACACCACGTTCCCAAAGGGTGAGGACACCGTTGCTGGCGCCAACCACAACCTTCTCGCCGACGTTGGAGCCCTTTGTTGAGAGGCCAGTGACAATGGTAGAGCTTAGCAGCTCCTCCTCTTGGTCCTCGCTACGGACCATGACCCCCCTACGGATGTCCGTGACGGCCAGTGTGCTGCCACCTGTCGTGACCCATTGCTTGCTGAAGCCGCTTGTACTCGCTTGTGTAGGTGGTAGTGGGGTGAGCGAGGAGACGTAGTCGTCGTGTGGGTGGTGCGTGTTCTCTGGTTTAAGAGAGACTTTTTCTCCGCCTTTGAGGTTCCTAATATCGTATATATGCAGCGCTCCAGAGTCGGTGGTGAGGATGAGGGATTGCGGTGACAGGGCGTGGACCAGTGTGGGCGCATCGATGCCGCTATTGGAGCTATTCCGTCTCAGTGATGAATGATCCGCATATTCTCGCCTCTTGCTGCGACTTACGGGTCCAGTGGAATGGTGATCTTCGCGGTCACCTGGCCGGTCATGGAATCCGCAACCTTGACTATGCCGTCGGTGCCTGCAGAGATCAACGACGCACCGTCGACGCTGTATGCGAGGGTCCGGCAACTGCCCTTGTGTCGCCTTGTGCGCCAGATGCGGTCGATAGTTCCAAAGCCGCTTTCGGATGCTAATGTCGTGTCATTGTCGTCGTCGTTGTCGTCATCGCTTGCGCCGGCAGGGAGGCGGTAGGTGTGTACATCGCCATTGGCCAGGCCGACTGCTACGAGTGGCTGCTGGGGATGGACCGTCTGTACAAAAATATCGTGCTCCACAGGGAGAGCACACAGGTTCTCGAACATGGCTATGATGTTGTGTAAGGCGGATAAACGGAGAGATGGTCCAATGGGTCGAGTGGATTTCCGTTTTGCGACAGCTTCAACATTTTTAGTGGAGCCGCGGCCGTCGAGCGCATGGCAGCGGCAGCCGCATGGCTTGGCAGGTACATGGCACGTGACCTGGATTACGTGCCTGAGAACTGCAGTACACGATGTACATACACTTCTACGACCTTGACTTATTTTATGAATGCCCACTGTATGTCTACCTTGTTGATCAATGCGCCCGTTCTTTGGGTTCATGTACTAGCAAGCCATGTTTTATAGACTCCGTATCACCTTGGCGGACTGCAATCTTTTAAGCAGCCTTCATGGCACGCTTGCCTCCATCTCCATCCCCCCTATGCCCATTCTGGCCATCTCTATCTTTTTAAAATTCCAAACGACCACTCAATCATCCCAAATAAGTTGAATCGCTCCAAGAACCAGGTCTTTGGAGCACCAGAATGCATTGCGCTACACGGCAAACACCCTGATAAAGCATTCACCTCCAATCATACACTCTCCAGAGAAGACGCTTCTTTCGTGTCCGAGATTTCCGTCCCATGGCTCCGTTGCCCCATTGCCCCATTGCCCCATTGCCTCCGACGTGTCTACGCCATGTCGATAACAGGAAGGTCGAAGAACTCCCTCGACCCGACAGGCTCTACAAGGTTAAGCAGCCGAATTCACGTGGGCCACTGATTGGCTGTTACGACCATCCCCGGCTCTTCGCCATCCTCACCGTCGTACAGACGGCACCGTTGCATCCGACATCATGCAGTCTTTTAAAAGTCGAATAACGGCCTCGCAATCACAATGTCAGGCCTTGAGCTCACAGCAACTCGGACACAATTTCAAAGTCGTTGACAATGCTTGCCTCGTCGTTCTTGTACGGCCTCTTGGCGGCAGCTTCTGCCGTCAATGCCCACCGCCACTCCAAGGACATCGACTACACGGTCATTACTGGCATCTTTCAGCAGGATGACAACTCTACCAACCCTGCCACGTTCAACTTCACCGCCAGCAACTTCGGCCTCATCAACCGCACCTATCCAACTGACGCGACCTGCCCAGACGGCAAGAAATCGACCCAATGGCAGCGTCTTGCTCACTACATCTCTACCCTGAACAAGCAGTCTGCGCGCAATGAGCGCTACAGCCTTGTCTTCATGGGCCGCCACGGCGAAGGCTTTCACAATGCTGCTGAATCCTTCTATGGTACTCCAGCATGGAACTGCTACTGGTCTGAGCTCGACGGCAACAGCACCGTCATATGGGCCGATGCAAAGCTCACCGAAGTCGGCATACAGCAAGCAAAGCTCGTAAACGCATTTTGGCAGCACTTGCTCAAGGACGAGAAGATTTCCCCGCCAGAATCCTTCTATACCAGCCCTTTGTATCGCTGCCTCGACACTGCAAAACTTACCTTTGACGGAGTCAAGCTGCCCAAAAAGACGCCTTTCGTTCCGGTTATCAAGGAGTTTCTTCGCGAAGGCATCAGTGCGCATACTTGCGACCGTCGCCGTACCAAGTCGTCCATCCGCAAAAACTTCCCTTCTTTCAAGTTTGAAAAGGGATTCGCAGAGGAAGACCCCTACTGGACCGAGCTATTCGCTGAGCCCCGAGCGAACCAGGACGCACGCTCCAAAGCCGTGCTTGATGACATCTTTTCCAGCGATGACAGCACGTATATTTCCATTACTTCGCATTCGGGCGGCATTTCCAGTCTGCTACGCGGTAAGCCCTATCTTCAAACCAACATTCATGATACATTTTCGTACTGACAATACCTTAGTCCTGGGCCACCGCGAATTTAGACTCAGCACTGGAGCCGCCATTCCCGTCTTGCTCAAGGTCACTACTCTAAACACGCGTCCTCCCCCAACGACAACATTGCCTTATGGTCCCCAAAAGACATGCGCCGTACCCCCTGCTATTCGCGACCCGAGCTGCAATGACTGTTCTTGCTGCTCATAAGGTTTCCTCTAGGCTTGATTACGAGATAATTCAAATACAATAATTACCATGTCAGCGCTGACGCTTGCCCCCTCTGACTCAATGCATCGTTCTCGAACATGGTCATTTCATATTTCCACATCGCGTATCTACAAAGTTGCAATCGTGCTCGTACCTCGGCACACATTCTGTGTCGAGTAAACTTCGACAAGCATAATCCCAGCATATCCGTTACCGACGTCATCTGCGACATGGGACTAGCCCTGCTATCCCAGATTATCTAGCCCGCATCATGCAAAGCACTATGTAAGGATGCTCCCCGGTGATTCGTACATCTACTTCGGATCTCTCCCCGGTGGGTAAAATATCCACATTTTCCGACCCGAGATTCGAGAGCCTCGAATTTTGGAATAAAAATATGTAATATCAAAACACTATCTACGCTGTGCCGTCCGTCAATGATACCTCGACATTGCGTAAATTGAAGCAAAAAGATGCCGTGAACTGGGGCCGCTGCATATCAAGACAAAGGATTATATTATTCGGCCAAGCAGCTCCGGAAATGGCGACACGAGAATTTGACGCGCTTAATCATACCAGCCCCTCATCGTCGTTCCTCTTTGACAGCGCATGCAAGTTGCCGCGATAAATCATAACATATGGAATTGCCCCCTAGCAGGGCCAGAAGACATGTCGCGCGCGCCGTCGCCGCTAGGAGTTTAGCACCCGACGTTGTGCTCCTCCGCCCATGTCCGGTTGAGGTTCAGCCCACAAACTGCCAGGGTGGCTGCGCTAGTAAGCACGTAGTCACTCGGCTGGCCCATTCATGTCTTGACTCTACTTACACGCTAAATGAACATCATCCGCTAGGGGGGATATACCAAGTACCAACACAAAACATACGACCTAAAGACAAGGTTTGTTGGTGATACCGTGTGCCCATGTCGATGCTCATGGCAGCCGTCTGAATCGTGAACCTGTCAGCTCGCCGGTCTGATTGGTAGCCGGGATCCGCTCCTTTGGGTGCGCAGATAATCTGGAATGCGTGTGGGGAACTCGGGAGCGGTGCTGTGCCAAACGTGAATCAAGGTACCTGATTACTGTCCTGTCGTAGGTCAATCAGTTACCTGTCGTTTATGCACAGTGTCAAGGTGATCGAGCATACGCTCGACGCGGAGGAATTGGTTGCCAAAGTTTCCCAGTACTAAGCCTACTAGGATCAACGTCATTGCAACCCTTGCAACTGGCTTTCGCAAGAATGTCGCTCCACACCCCGGGTCTGCAAGATCTACGTGTCGGAGCTAGACTGATCGGCCCCAGATTGCCGGTTGGCTCTCAGCTGATTGTTGCATTGCACAAAGTGTGACCCTTCGAAGTTAGATCTATTTCGAAGACTTGGTGATTGCGAACCATACAATTCGTCCCCCATGAGATTTGACGCCTGTCACGCGCAAAGGGACTGCCCCAAGATTGTCTGCTTGCTTTGGATAGTTTGTGATTATTAGGGTGTCTAATTATGTATATCGCGTGGGTATATGTAGGAAGAATGAGGCAAAGACCGTTGATCGTGATGATGATAATGTACAAAATTCGGCACCCAATGCACCCCGCATAGCGTTTCTTCTTCTTCGTTTTATTCTCCATCTTTTTTTTCGGACCTGCCGATCGTTGCGCAAATGACAATATGAACCAGCTAGCGAGTCGAACTCACTGGCAATCATGTCGTGGTTGTACATTCTGCCAGCCGCATCATGATTTCAGTCCGAACACCTTCGTCCACGTTACGGGTACGCATTTTCCACAGATGTAGTGACGCTGTAATGCAGCAGTAGGCGTTTTCCGGTTTCGTAGCGGTTGGATGACTGTGATGGGTAGGGTGTACAATGGCCGTCAGGTATCGGTGTTGGGATCCGACTCGAAAGAAACCTGACAAATGATGGCAACCGTGATGGAAGGGAGTGCTAAGTTTGATGGCAAAAGCGACCAGAGCGATGTAGCTTGTGCCGTCGAATCTTGGACTATCTGTAGGGCGCAGATATGACGGATCCCCTTTCCTCGTCCGTAATGTAGAATGACTTCGATACCATGATACCATTAGAGAAGATGTCCTCTGTGCTGCTTCGTGAGCTCTTGTTCCTCAGGCTTTGCTCGCTGTCATTATCCGAATTGTCAACACGAGTGCTCTTCTTGGAGTTGGGCGGAGCATTTGGGAACCACTGGGGCGATTTTGACTTGCTTCCAGTTTGCATAATTCCATCCTCCGAGGTGCGGGTTTGAACAGTGGCGGAGAGCTTGTACATGTCCGGTCGGAGCTTATCAGCCTTTGACGTTGTACCAGAGGCGGCGGCGTTTGCTGGAAGCGGAGCTGACATGGCGTAGGCTGAAGGGCGATAGGCGGATGGGTTGCGGGTTGATAGGCCGAGCTTGGACATGGCAATGAAGAAGAGTGGGCGGAGTGTTGCAAGACTGCCGGCAGTGATGGCGAGACCTTGTTCGACAGAAGACCAGATGGCAATGTCAAGCGTGGACCCTGTAAGGGTTAGTACATGATGGCAGCATGATGCATCGGGTGCTTACAAAGGAAGTCGGGTGAGTTGAAGAAGTGGACAAAGGGCAGGCGTGCGATGACGGCAGCGCTTGCGATGCAGCCCATAGTGATCAAGGGAATCAGTGCAATCTTTGCCCTCCTCTTCAACTGCAGATGCCAGACCAGGAATCCAGGGATGATAGCAAAAGTAAAGTCGGAAATGATGGAGAAGATGCTATAGACGTAGCCGAGGGCAGTGATGACGGTATTGTCGATGCACTTTCCTTGTTGCGAAGTGCGATCCCACATGTACGAAATGGGGTAGCATTGGAAGAGGCAGACAAAGAAAAAGGTACTTCCGGCAACAACCGAGACGAGCATGGCAGCGTAGATGATCCTGAAATGATTAGTCGAGTGCTCGGCCAGGCGGCTCATGTGGCGACTCACCAAGTGTGGAGTTTCCGGATGCTGATGCGCAGTAAAAGGAAGCCGATGGACATTTTGGAGCAGATCATGGAGGTGGAGTAGAACAGATAACAGAAGTACCAGGCGTGTTTTGCATTCTGGACACCCTCGATGGGGAGATCGTGGTGGTGGCGGCCTGTTCCATGGCTAATGCCTATGCAAGAAGACGTTGTATAGGCTACGAAGAAGAGCTGAGTGCCATGTGAGTACCAGGATTGGATGTATCTACTCGTTCGGCTGGTTTGTTACTTACGGTTGCAACAACCATGAGCCAGTCATCGAGACCAAAGGCCTTGACCATTCGGACGCGGACAAAGCACCTCAGCAGGCAGGCCAAGACGGCCGTGGTAACAAAGGCAATGTTGACTGCGAGCAGCTCGGGACCTCTATTGGGGACGGCCATGGTAATTGTGATTTCGAGGCAGCGGATGCTCTGGCAGCAGAGAGCCCCAAAACCGGGAGGGCCATGGAGCTTGAGGGAATATGCATCTTTAACGTACTTGGATGGATTTGTTTTTGCCGAGGTGGAGCTATACTACGTAGGAAGCAATGCATAACGCAAGCCGCCACGAGAGAGGTGGGTCACTGCACGCGGGCTGGCAATACTGGATCCAGGGTCTGGTCCGTTTCAGGGCGAAGCCATTACCAAGCTGGGTGTTTACCCGTGGAGCTAGGACAGTGACCATTGATTTGCGCATGTCGAGTAATCATGCGTGCCAGGCCGTGCCAGGACAGGTACGGGGACGAGGCTATAGCGACAATGCTCTACATTCGACATACTGTGTTGGTAAAGGGGACGGACTATCGCACCGTGCCTGGGTGCTAAGTCAGTACACTACAGTGGTAGTAATAAGATGATGGGAGGCCTGGACATGGTTGTGATTCTCACCAGCTCTGTGTGTGTGGCGCATGTCAGTGGGTGGGCTCATTGTCCACCCAATCGGCGAATTGCTGAGACAACGCCTCCCGTTGTTGTCGTTGTCGAGGTCCAAGGCGACGCTTGAGCAGCAGCTCCGCTCGCACTGTTGTCTGTAGTCGTTGGCTGTGTGGCCAGTGGATGGACGAAGAGCGGCTCACACAAGGTTTCGCGGGAATGTGGGGCACGTGGACGCTAACTTTGTTTGGGCCTAGCGCACGAAAATCCTGTCCTCTCCTGCATCGCCTGCATCGCCCGTATCTGCCGCGTCTTGGCCACAGCCAACCGGCATTCACCTTGCCCAACCCACTGCCAACCCATACAACCCCCGGAGCCATATCCCAAAGCTGCTTTCTCGATGCACAGTCGTGCAGTTCCTCCTTACCCGCTGTCGCCGTCGCCCCGACCGGTATCATGACTGCTGGCTCTCTGGATCCAGCAATGCTCGACACGTCCAGCCCACGGGAATGCGGCCACTAGCCATAGAGGGCGGTTTGGTGGAGCATTACCGGCCCACATGCATTGCCTGCCTCCACCTTGCGGACGATGCCGAGGAATGTTTTTTGTGCCTTATCAATCCAGGCCACACACAGACTGGCAACGGATGGATGGCTGGTGGCGCTGCAGAAGCAATGGCTGTAGGAACACGCTACTATTCACTCCCCGACTCGTTGCCGCGGCCGTCGGCACTTGGTCTTGGCCCTGCCCACACTGGCACGCAACTATCCCCATATTTGGACCATTTGTAACGCTACCCTTCTCTTCCGCGCCCAAGACCCGCCGCACGAACTGCCCCGTCCTTCGCGTGTGAAACTTAGATTCTGTCAGCACCCAATCCCATCCGCAGATAATTGCCCGATGGCTTACCATTTGACTTTGAGCCAAACTCGCCTGTGGCACGTTGACCAGCTTGTCGGTACAGCGCTTCCCAGGATTAACCTATTCGCTTAGCCATAGGCTGAGTGATGCAAACACTCGAGTGTTTATGGTGACATTCCACCTGGTCGACCATGCTATCCTTGCATACAGGGGCTCCGGGAGACTAACACCCATCGGTCTACATATGAGCGCAAGTACGTACCCGCGATACATGTCACCCCGCGGATCTTTGTCTTTCAGACATGCCATTTCCGCTTTGCGGAACGTTTCCTGATCTTTGCTCACAACCTTCTGGTCGCCTTTGATCTTCTCTTTCATTGCGACCGCCAGAAAATATCTGACTAATCTTGTCCATTAGTCTCGGCTCGCAACCGAGGCTAATGATGGAGGCAAATCCCCACGCTGGACTGCCGCGGACGTTTATCCAAGTTGAATACACACGTTGAAAAGTACCTCGTGGCCAACGGCTGCGCCAAGTTCTCCGCTTGTCGAGTGGCTCTTCTAACGGTTCCTGCAACAATGGCTTGCTGGTGCTTGTGCGCCTCCTGCATGGAGCTGCATCGTGGCGCGAAGATCACACAAGTGGCCAAGTCTGGGCCCTCTTTGTTCGATCACGCTGGTGACGACATTGCATACAAAATACCTGTGCCGGTTGTGTCCGCGCCCCTATCGTCAGACTTTCGTACCTACCGCTGTTGAACGCGGTTTGATATTAACCATCTCCCATCACATCAGCGTTTCAGACGCAGGACACTGCGCATCCCAGCCACTGCCGTCGGTGACGCTGCGAACAGGCGCACCCAGGTACATGCACCTCAAAGGATCAAGGTTTCGTACGAGATCGGCTGACGCGATATCCAATACCACGCTCAACAAATGCACCCTCCCGCACCAACACCCTCACCATCAAGGGTCCCCTATATCATGGATAAGGGTAAAAACACTATACCTTACTAATTGGGGTTAGTGGTACCCCGCCAATGTCTACTCTACCTTCTGCACCGCATCTGGTGATGCATGCCGATGGGGAAGGTCAGGAACCTGAGCACTTGATATACTAGCAGCAACCAAGCAAATTCAGTAAAATGCGCCGTTCTTGATTCCATCCCATGTATACCTGGACGAAGAGCGCTCGACAAACCGAGTACGCGCTTGAGCAGAGTGCTTGCTCAAGTGTCGAGTGGCAAGGTTGCAATCAGCAGACAGATCCCACAGCAATGGAGAGCCCAGTAGGGTTTCGGATCCTCAATACAACTGATCTAACATTGGTCTGACACCTTCTCTACATCCCATGTCAGCGAGCCATTTCTGCCGTTGAAAAAGCAACAGTTGCCTCACAATCAGGCTTACCGTGTGGGGCCGTCTCGAATACAGTTCCGAGGCATGACTATGTGCGTGTATAATGGGAAGTTCGATTCGATGTTCAAGAATCAAGGGGGAAAATGGATATTTGATTCATCCGTTGCACTCCACCATTAAAAACCCATACTGTTTTTTTTCTTCTTTTGCCATTAATTCTTCTTTTTGCTTTTCTTATTCAACATAACGTGTTGGATAAGCGAGTCGGTCAGGCAAGCGAGTCGGTCACTTCACTAACTTTGTGCACCTCTATAAGCGTGTAGCTCTACCACCATGTAACCATCTTAATATATATTAACATAGGAGGTTAAGTAGTATCTAGAGTATCTTTCTCGCATGTACGCGCAT